CGCGAAAATGACACACTCAAGGTTTGAGAGTTCCTTTTTACGGTGTTAACTTCTAGTTATTATGTCATAGGACGCCACTGATATTAAAAACACACCTTGAAAAAAAGTTGTCTGGTTAGAACAGTAAGATTTAAAAAAATTGGTACAAGAAGGGACTGACACTTAACTGTTTGCGTATATTGGAAGAGTGCCACTGAAATTGATATTTAAATTTCAGAAGATTCTTTCAAAAGTTTCTCGAACTATTCGAAGGCACTTTTTTTCTGGAAGTGATTTTTCACACTGATGCCTTCGCGGGACTTCAAATTCTTTTTATATTTGCAATTTGTAGTGAGAATATTATATTTCCAGTTTGTATTGAGAAATTTTACAAACAGATTTTTATGATTCTTTCGCATTTGCATGCTCTTTAATTCATTTTTGGTGTATTCCCCACAAACACGGTTTTGTTTTTATCCGGTGCGAAATGGTGACACCACATTGCACTTCACTGGTAGTTTTTAAAAAATTTTTCATACTGCAGGTCACTAACGAATCAAATGAAGCTGAAATTGACCGCCTGAAGAAGAAGCTTCAACAGACAAGCGAGCTCGCCAAAGAACATGCCGATGCGCTTGACAAACTTCGTCCGGAGGTCTTTTTTCTTAAATTTTTAAGATCTCGATTCAATTGTGGGATCTGAAATTAAGAACATGATGAGCTGAAGCCAGTAAGTTAATTGGATTGTGAGTGCGTCGTAAAAATGATGAATTTTGAAGAATTTTGAAGAAGTGACAGATGAGCCCAAAATTTTTTTAGTGTTTTGCACTCCTGTTCTGAGGCACTGATTCGTGATAGAAATTCGTCGCAGCTGTAGCGGGCAAACAGAATGAAATTACTGTGTGCGATGGTTTTCCAAGAAAAAGACATTTTTCAAACATTTTCCATTTGCTTTATTCCAGCGTGATCGCCTGCAAAATTTGTATCGTGAAAAAGTGAAGCAAGTGGAAAATCTGACGCAGACAGTTCAAAACTTGGAATCACGACTGAACCAATTGCGGCGCGAACTCCGTGAGGCCACCGACAAGGTTCGTTTATACGCTTTCCTGCATTTCAAGAGCTTATAAACAATTATAGCGATTTGAAGCCTTGGCACTGAAAAGGGTTAAGGACACAGCACTGAATTATTTTCACATTTTTTTTGATAATCCGTGCCTCTCTCCTTCTCATCATACAACAATTCACTCAGCCTAGGAAGAAGCGAAGAGATTTCTGAAAGAAACAACAATTTCAAGGAAGTTTGTTGAGTTTTCGGAATTCTGAAAATGAAATATTGGATAAGATTTCATCATCACTGATCAGCAGTTTGGTGATTTAGCAAGAATTGACTAATCCATATGCCCCTTTTGTATGTCATGATCCCCCGCCCATTGGCTACGCTTTTGATCTTAGCTGCTACGTCAGTCTTGTAGTTTGACAGTACCTACAGAGGTGACAAAGAAGTTACCGATTAAATCTATTACGCATTTTAAGCTCCACTCAAATCCTGAAAAATCAGATTCTAATTTCTTGTGAAGTGCAGAAAGCGCAAAAAGAGGTTGTATTGGTCTTGCCTTACACAGAGTTCTTCCCTTTTTTGTTTCAGCTAATTGTTAGTGACGGAGAACGTAGCGCACTTCGCAATGAAATAGACAAACTGGAGCACGAGGTACAATTCATGCGTGAGCAGCTTGTCCGGAAAAGCAGTGAATATCAAACGGCCCTGGATGACCTAGTTAGTGCGCACCGAACCGCCGAGGATGGTCGTGTGAACGCTGTTCAGGAACTGGAAGCGCGCAAATATGAGATCGGTGACTTGCAAGTAAGTCATGCTTTCCTGAACTATGTTGTGACGAAAAAAGAAATAACCTAAAAAAATTTCTTGTTGCAT